CTTCCATGGTAATAACCACCCTGGCCACCCTGCTGAAAGGCACTGTGCCACTGACAGCTCAGCACTCTGAGGGACTCATAACCCCTCGGCATCTTTGGGGGTTTTCTGGCTGTCCCCTGAATACACCCTGTCAGGTGATTGACTCTTCAGGGTTCCTGCTCAGCAGAGGCTCTAAAGCTGTGCCATAAAGCTGCCTGAGCTGGGAGCAGTGGCCTGCTCCATGCAGACAGTGGCCCCAGCATCACAGAGCTGTGTGTGACTTCAGTGCAGCAGTGGCCTGGGACACTGGGGACATTCTCTGTGTGTCTCAGGGACATTCTCTGCAGTGGCCATGGGGCACTGGGGACATTCTCTGTGTGTCTCAGGGACATTCTCTGTGTGTCTCTGAGTGTGGCAGGTGCTCCTGGGGTTGCCCTGGTGGATCCTCATCCTGCCCTGCTGTCTCTGGTTGGTGACTGAGTGGCACCTGGACAGAGCAGAGCAGTTCTGTTGGAAGGGATGTACAGCAAACATCTCCTGCCTGACCAAGTCAGGGCTGGCCAAAAGTTAAAGGGAATTGTTGCTAAATTAAATTGAAATCTCACTTGCTTTTACTTGGAATGTGGAGCCACGTTCATTACAGGAAAATATTCCTTTTAATAACATTTCTAAAGTGTGTATAAACATGCAATTTTCTTGTTTTGACTGCTTTAATGTTGACATAGATTGTTCCAATGGGTGGAGAAGAGAAATCAGCCAACCTGATGAATTTCAAGGTGTAGTTCAGGCTCAAGGATGCGTTTCCTGAAATTCAGCTGCTTGTACTTTACCCACAGCCTTGTTATTTGACTGATTGCTCCAGTATTTATCTAGTTCAAGGAAAACTTGCTGCTTCAACTGACTTTGAACACTATCTTTTACTTTGGAGCTTGTGGATAAGAACTTGTATGTGGCCCAGAAATTGCTCAGTATATTCAGAGGTGCAGAATTTGGGGAGGAAAATTTTTTTGTTCCATGTTCTTAAACAAATCAAAGGAATGTAGTTTTCCTGTAAGTAACACTTCTTGTAGTGGCTTATAATTTGGTGTACTACTTAGGACAGCATTGTGGTATGTAATTAGCAGTTAGCTTTGCAGTTGTTACCCACAAGTTGTCTAGATATTGAAAAATATTTTAAAATCTCTTTATATTAAACAAAACCAAATAGGGCAGAAATTTGTCCCTTAAGTGGCCTTTGTAGTCTTAACGTGTTTATTTTGTACCTGCCTGGATATCAAGTTAATTATGAGAGAACTCTCAAAAGATAAGGGGGGCTGTAAAGGGTTGGATGTGTTCCCTTGAGTTTTTTTATCCATAATCATTTTTGAAAATACACCACAGTGCATAAATGTCTTTTAAACTTGATAGAAAATGCTTTTAAATTGTTTTCAAGTCTTCTAAGTACTGTTGCATTTCTATTTTTCTCCTTTCTTCTTAGTAACTTTCCGGTAATTTAAAAACTTCAATTAGCGAGACTTGGTGAGGTGGCAGTAGCCAAATAATTTCACTGAGAAGAGGGAGACTTCCTTGAGATTTGGGCTCTGTGAGAGGCAAATGGAGCGTTAGATAGGATATTGCTGCCTGGAAAGGCTGACCTGGAACAGAGACTAGGCAGAGCAAAAGGGATAAAATCAGTATTTATTGAAAGGATTCACCTTGGGCAGTGAAAGAGCCTGGCTGGGGCCACACCCAAATCAAATCCAAGGTGGATCCTGGTCATGAGTTTTTACACTTTGATAAGTTTTGGTTCATCCACACATTGGGGTCAATTGTCCACCCACAGCCCCAGGCTATGGAGTCTCAGCCCACCTGGCTTGCCCCCTTTCCCTTACTGTTGTTTCTGTTTTTTGGATACCAGTTGTCCTTGATTCTCTGGCTAGAAAGGAATTGTTTTGTCAAACTACCCTGTGAAGAGAGCTCACCAACACCTACCATGAAGTTTCAGAGTTACACACTAAGCAGCAGAGATTCTGAAAAATATAAAAGCTAAAACCCAAGGCATCAATATCAAGTGTCTGTCCTCATGGAAAAAGCAGTGCCTTGACTTCAGAAGCAGAGTACCTGGCCAGCCCAGGAATTGCCCTTGCTGCCAGAGAGGCTGTGGGATCTTGCACTGACTCAAAAGCTAAAATCCCAATCACTACAGGAAATTTGGTTTAGGGTAGAAAATACTTCTCTAAATCTGTGAAGTCTTTACTGTGTTTTTTCCAGGGGCAGAGTACCTAGCTACTTGCTGCCACTCACACACTCATGCACACACACTTTTCCCTTTTCCAGCCCCCAGGATCTTCTCCAGGTGTGTTGGCAGGGAAGCATGGACCAGTCATTGCCCTGCCTGCTGTGCACTTGGAGCCACAGCCCAAGCAGCTGCTGGCTCCTTGCAGGCCTGGTTCATACATTGGGTTAAAACCAGCCTAACTTTGGTGGCTGCAGCAGTGTGACCAAGCAGATTAAAGGAGCTGCTTCCCTCTCACGAGCGTGGTTCCTCCAGTTTGCCCTGGCGTTACAGGGAGTCACTGGGGAGAGTGAGCACCAACACTCACCCTGTGAGCACCAACAAAAACACTTCTGTGTGGGACTTGGCTCACACATTTTTGTAGAATGTTCCCTGAAATGTCACAGTTTGGGGAGTGTTAGTGTGGAGTTCAATCCCACCCCTGTTCTGAAATGTGACAGCCGAGTCCCAGAGAAGTTGAAGCGAACAATAGGGGGTTTTTTAATGTCAGAATGTCCAGCAGTGGCTCCCAGCTCAGGCTTTCATGGACACAGCAGGAAGCCTTGAGGAGAGGCATTTGCTCCCACCAGAAGCTTCTCAGTCATGCTCAGGGAGAAGCCTGTGGGCTGCACAGAAGCCTTCTGTGGCCCCAGCTGGACCATGCTGGTCACGCATGGACATGCTTGTGCTCTGCTGGGCTTGCCCTCTGCTCTTTCTCCTGCCCCCTCTCTCTCAGTGTTTGCATGTGTCCACATCATTCTTGTCCTTTTTTGTCTCTAAGTTCTCTTTCAAGGGTAACTAAAGCTCTTCCTTCTATTCTTCATCTTCTCCCCTTTCCTGGTCAGATGACTGTAGGAAAGGTCTCCCGTGCCATTGGAGCTGTGGCTGAAGTTCTTGTAAATCTGTATGTGAATGATCACAGGCCCAAGCCACAGCTTGAACTGGTAAGACTAAACCCACAAAGAAACAGTAATTTGACTTAAGAGCAGTGTTCCCATTGCCATCCTGACTTAAGACCCCAGTTGTGGAACACCTGAAGCCTTATAAAAGGTCTAACACCTATTAAAGAATCAAGTGCACATTGGCACTATGTGCTGATGGAAATGTTGCTCACCGTGTCTTCTATTTATATTTCTGTTACTTGACTGTGTGAATTAAAACTTCAGGAGGCTTTTATTAAATGTAATTGCTGTAGAATTAGTAACAGAAGACAATTATTACTCAGGGTGGCTTCTAAAGCCAGTTTTGTACAGTACATGCTTATGCAGTTATTTTTAACACATGAGTGCTGAATCACTGTGCCTCCTTTTGAAGAGGGCTGTTCTCAACTCTGACACTGTTGTGTGTTGAATTCAGAAGGGATCTCTGGACAGAGCTGCAGGTTCTTGCCCCGTTCCTCAGTCTCCATCTGCTGCCTCCAGTGCTCAGAGATGTCAGGTACTGGGAAGCCAAGCAAGGTGTTGTGTTGTAGTGATGACACTTTACTTACCAGGCAGCACTACTCAGTTGTTTCAGCTTCACTGTAACTATCTGATCTATTAACACCATGGTTTTAAAAACACATTTGTGTGGATTTCCATTTGCATGGTTGTTTGTTTGGAAAGATTCATGCTCTAAAATGATCCATCGGAGCAAAATGGATTGCTAATGGCAAATCTGGAATAGAATTCTCAACTTCTAAGCACAGGGCTATGTGACAATGGCAATTCTACTTAACATTAAAAAATGGATCCAAGGCTGCCTTTTGCTGGCACATGAAAGATGAGTTGTGTGGACTGTGTGTTGCTGTCTGAATGTGCCTTGGACTTCTCCTCCTCCATCCCACGTGTGGTACCTCTCCTGTGGCAGCAGGGATGGTGGAAGGAGAGGGAGGGTGTGAGGGATGTGGCAGGCACAGCACGCTCACCTGTACCCACCTGTAACCAACCATAACACAGTAATGCAAAGTAACATCCTCATACCTGCCTCCAGTGAGGAAAGGGAAGTCCAGTGGCATCTAATCAATTTCTGGTTCACTTTTCAGTACCTTTTGCATGTAAGAGATTTGTGGCAATTAAAGAATGTTAATTACCAGCCTAATTTCAACAAATTCCTTTCAAAATAGTTCTACGTTGTTAATATGGATTGTATTTTGAATGCCTTAAAAATGTTCTGTATGCATGTAGTAGGAAACAAAGTGATTTTTGAAGCTAACCAAGCCCAGGTTGGGCTGTAGGAACAGGACTGAAAGGGAAGGCACGGCTGTGGCAATGGGAAGGGTGGTTCAGTCAGCAGCCTTTAACCCTGTCTGCTTTTCCTCCTGGGCCTCAAAGCACAAGCCTGCATTTTCCCCCAGACTGAACTGAGTCTTCAGGGTGTTTTTTTTTTGCTTGGCTGCAGATGCAAGTCTGCTGTTTGAGGCTGGTGAGGTGTGCCCTCACCTCCTGACACGAGTCCCTAAGCCAGGGCGGTGCCGGGTGACGAGGGAGTGATGCTGCTCCTGGCTCTGAGTAATCAAAATGTTGGTGAACTCCCAGAGGGAAACTGAATGCAAGTCCAGCATCAAAGTCACCCCTTCAAAGTCCTTGTGATATCTGATTTATTAATTGCTGCATAAATATACAGAATTGCAATAATAAGTAATAAAAAAGCTGACTGGTGCTTACTGTAATTTTGCTTGGAGGGTGCTGTTCAACGCTTCAAGCAGCTAAAGCAGCTGCCCCCTTCCTAAGGATTTCTGTCTGGGTGTGCAGCCCCAGCTTTATGTTGTGTTTTTCTCTTTGAACAGGGTTCTCTGCGGAAAGAATTCCCCAAGTCCGTCGGGGGCAGTGACATTTGTTATTTCTGCAAGAAGCGGGTCTATGTCATGGAGCGGCTGAGTGCAGAGGGCCACTTCTTCCACAGGGAGTGCTTCAAGTGTGAAATATGTGCTACCACACTCCGCTTAGGAATCTATGCCTTTGATGTTGAGGAAGGTAATGGAGGAGCTATTTAGGAGTATTTTGAAATGTCTGAGTATTGGTGCTTTGAAAAATAGCAATAGAAAGATCTGGCCCGGTAGCACGGTCAGGAGGAGGTCTGCCAAGTTTGCTGCTTGCACCCTGCTGATCTTTGAATCCTTGTCCTGGCAGTCCCAGTCTCTCTAAAGAGTTGACTTATGACAGACCTGAGCTTTAAATGAAGAAATCCTCAGTGGAAAATAAGTTGAGTGACCAAAATGCACTTTATTGAATCACAGGTCAGAGTAAAGGGGGGGGGGAGGGGGGAGGTTTCTCCAATATTATAGTTATTCTTATCTCCATTTAAAACTGGCCATTAAATAATGCGGTCTATAAGGACAAGCCATAATAGTGGCAGATTTACACGGATGCAGGGAATGTAGGTTATTTCTTTTAAGATGTTATGGTCAGGAATTGAAAGCAGTAGGACTAGCCAAGCACAGTGTGATTTATTTCAGGCTCCAAGCTGCTGTAGAACAAGAGGTTCAGATCTTGGGTGCTTCTTCCCTCCTAAATCCTGGGGTTTGCCTTTTTTTTTTTTTTTT